TGTGGGTGTGTGAGTGTGAATTATAAAGGTATGGTTGTGACTATGACTGTGGTAGTGGGTGTCGGTGGTTCAGACTGTGAGTCCGTCTTCTCTCCAACCATATCCGCACATCCACACCCTTGTTCATCTGAAACCTTCGGATGATATTTAAGTCTCATATCTCGATTACTTTATTTCACACTCAAATGTACCGAACTGTCAGAATCATGTTGAAATAAGCACAAGCAAGTGGTAACATGTAGCAAAACGACAGTAGCTATACCGTCATGATAGGATAAAAAGGATCGAACTTCATCGAGGCTTGACATCCAACATATTGGTCACTTTCCAGCAACTGTAAAAGTTAGATGCCATCAAGTTGCCGTTTGAATCAAGGATCCAAAAAGCATCTAGTGCAGCATTGTTCGAGAACATCGTATATGTAACATTGCTTGCTGTTACTACTGTACAGTCTCCAAGTGCACTGTCGAAGATCAAGGTCGAAAGTATTAATATGAAGCACATTTCTTGTAGTTTAGTACCCATTATATGCTAGGACAAGACCGAAAATCGTCGAATTTTAAACGGAAATCTTCAACACACACTAAGCTTAAGATGAGCTTTGATTGTGAGTTGTGACTTATGGGTAGAAACTACACTTCAAACGATTGAGATATGAGTAGACGTAAATATGGCATTCGAATCTTGAAGATCTTGATTTACATATTTATTTAATTCATAAATATTGTAGATCAAATGAGAAAACGAAAATGCACATTAGTTATTCATCTTTCCACAGAAGGGCGAACGAAAATTATCACACGCTGTTTGTATCTATTTACACCTGCACACAAACTCGAATCAATAAATTAATATTATTTCTTTGCTTGAATAGACTTCATATGACTGCTTATCTGATATTAATCCATAGCAAAACGCAACAACGTTATGGGGATGTAAGTGTAAGGCTCTTCGTGTTATCCACCCGCACATTCACACCCTTACTTCAACAGCTATATACGAAGCGAGTGCGGATGAGTGTTGAAAAGATAGATACCTACACTCACACGTATCCACATCTGCAAGCACACCCACACTCACACTCTACATCCATGCCCACTCCACATTCAAACACACCCAAAAGTGATACGGCTCTTGAACCACAATATTTATCAAAATCGAACTTATATAGATTGCTAGAAGATGCTTATCCCTACCTATCCATGATACAAGAATTAAACAACTATTGGAATGTTGTATTCTTATAGCTGAACTTTTGCAAGATCTAGAAAATGCAGTACCTTCAAAGTTCCATTGGTTATTAGTGCTTTTATAAAGTTATGCCTCCTGAAGTTCTCTATCAATTGGAGAAAACAGTGCATTGGTAGCTTATTGTGTTATTGAGTTATTCGAAAAACAGTGGAGTACCCTATATTATGGCAAGCATAGCAGTAACAATATTTGCACAACGCACAAGACACGTTTTCAAAGAATATGTGACTTCTTTCGAAAGAATCTTTGTTTTTTCGAAAAAATATAGGAATATAAGAAAAAGCTTGATATATAATTCATTATAGGACCAACCAAAACAATATAGGAAACATAATCCCACTGCGAGTGGGTATAAGTGTGAGTCTTTCATTTATTTACATAACCATCCACACACAAGATAGACAGATAGATCCGTCGAATACAAGAATCTTGTCTGATTCACACTGAAGAATGCTTTCTTCTACTACTTGCTTATTCATCATCATACAATCTAATGTGTCAATAAAAAAAGCAAAAGAAACGGAGAAAAGAAAATAACATGCCTCAATGACTTTTTTTGCCTTTCTCTTACTTCTACACAGCAGGAACGAACGAAGGAAAAAAGAAACTCCATGTGCATATCACACATACTCATATTACACACTCCATATTTATCGCAATTTGCAAGAAAGAAAGACGAAACAAACTTGTAATTCAAAATGTCTTCGTATTTTATGAAAACGTTTGTTGGAAATGAGTTTGATAAAGTGATCAAAGGTGAACTGAAAGAGATTCTTGAAAGTGAATGATCTGAATTCTTTTTTCTCGTCTTTTAGAGTTCAGTGGAAGTGACAAGGTCGACGAGAATGAACTCAACGGCATTTCTGAAGAAGAACAGATCGTAAGCAAAGCATTTATAATAGTTGCTAGACTGATCTCAGACCCTCCTTTCCATTTTCCATTCCTAGGCTGAACAGAACCGTCAAGCAGCTAACGAAAGAGATCGTAAAGCCCGACAAGCTAAAATCGAAAAAGAACGTGAAGAAGCAAGACAGAAAATACGTGATAAGGTGTGTGTGTATGCCTGAACATATAGTTTCGTCGACAGGGCTGACATTTTATATTCGTGGATATGTTTTTTTTTCTTTAGTATAACATTAAGAAGAAGGATGATTCACCGAGCAGAACTAAGAATCAACAGGAAGGCAAGATAAATGATCTGATAACCAGGGTCGACAATATAAATGCAAAAGTTGAAAAAATTAATGGGCCTGAACCTCAAGGTGAGTAAAACCTCGACAAAGAGTTTTCAAGATGAATGAGTCTAGTCATCTAGTCGAAAAACTTTTGAGCAAATTTTTACGTTCAGTTTCCCCACAGAAGTTCTAATGAATTTCGAACTCATTTTTCTGATATCTTAGAGAGAAAAATCGATTAGTATTCTCAGCATATTGTGTTTTAAATAAGCGCTACGTTTATCAAACAGAAAATTCAGCAGAGTCAGTTGAATCAAAACAAGATGGTGTTATGTATCGTAAAAAACTTTTCTTACTAAGAAAAAATTATATTTCTGGAAAAATATTTTCATGTGGATAAGAATAAAAAGTTCTAACCGAAAGGGGATGTCGCGCCCTGTCATCAAAACTTCTCTAATCCCAATGAAAAAACATTTTTTAAGTTACAAAAAGAACAAAATATATTTACAATTACAAACTGAAAGTAGTAAGAATATTGCAAAAAACGTTTTGAGAACTTCACTTTGTTTTTCAAAACGAAACTCGCAGGCGCAAAGCAACTTTTTTTTCTTAAGTGTTAAGACAAAAACATATCTCTTGAACTTCAAAAATTAAGCACCGCTAGATAGACCCTCAAGTTTCAATAATTTTTGCTGCGAATTATTGATTTATATGTCAGCGTTTGCCTATGATATCTGCAAAAATCAAGTTTTATAGTTATAAGACATGTTATTTTCATTAAAGACGCTAAGGTAATCTTTTCTTTGAGAAAAATTTTTTCGAGATTTGAGGTCTCTCCATCTACAAAATAACGAAAAAAATCTGATTTTAATCGATTTTTAATCCGAAAAGAATTGATTAAAATCGATTGAGTTTGGAAAATCTACAAAAATCAATTTCTTTGTGATTATTAATCGGTTTCAATTCTTAGTATATTTATCCCTCCTTTTCTTGTGTCTTGAATTGCTTTATTCAGTTCTAATCTATTACTTATATATTTATCCATTATAATCTATGATGACCTGCGAATCGATTGGTATGTCTTAACCGATTTTAATCTATTATTATCTTTTCCATCGATTTTAATCGATTTTTTTGAGGTAACAGATTTTAATAGACTAAATTTGTCGAAATCAAGAAAATCGA